ATTAATCACCCTGTGAGAACCCATCACTTGGACAGTCGGTCGCAGTGATTAAAGGCACCTTTATCTCCAGACCACATGCACTCAGGAGTGCTGTGAGCCCCTGGCCTCCTTAAAGTTTAACAGGCAGGTTTTTGAGGCTTTTCCAACTGATAAAACAAAATATTCCATGGAAAAGGCTGTCTAAGCCATTGGCAAAATGTCTAAATGAGAACAAATACCTCTTTTTAATGTTGTCAGAAGATGGTGTTTTGCAGCAAAGGTTTGGGGTTTCAGTTTAAACTGACCTTTTAGATTGAAATATGCTCTTATTAAGAAAAAACACTTTTGGGGTAGTTTTTTTGGAGGGGAAATGGAGGTGACAAAGAGCATGTGTTTCAACTAGTGGAAACATTTCAGGTTGATGTTATCCTGACAATTTAGGTCAGCAAAATTCTGAAACACATGGAAGTTCTTTTATGATAGGAAAATCTTTTCCAGTCCTGCTGTAGGTGTGTGTGGGTAGTCTAGGAGACATCCGTCTTTGGTAGGCTTTGCTTGAAAATAGAAGAAAACATGAGATCCCTGACTTTTAAGAATTCCCACGCTGGGATTATCATAAAACGGGGATATCTGAGCTGCTTTGAGAACTCCTCCATCTCTTCTGTTGCCTTCACCCAGAAAAGTCTGAAGGGCGACTTCTGTGAACTGCTGCTCAGGTGGAGGGCAGACCTGCTTTTGTAAAACATCAGCCAGGTGCCAGCAAAAGGGCTTTGTTTGGGGATGTGCTGAACATCCACCTCTGGAGCACTGCCTCTGGCAGATCCATCTCACCAGTGCCATGTAACACGCTGCTGGGCCTACCAGCAACAAGAGAAAACACATTTCCTCATAGAATTCCTTCTTGTTTGGCAAGAGTTAAAGCATAGCAATGTATTAACCCTTCTAAATGGTGTGGCCAGTGTTGGTGATGAACAGTGTAGGTCATCTTAGACAACACACTGTCTCATCTGTTTGCCTTTGATGCACAGAATATGATGGCAATTGATTGCTGCAGAGTGAATGGTGAACACTTTTTGTAGGACAGCTGTATTTCAGGTGCACAGGAACAGCTAATAATTAGTGTCAGTAAATCACTGTAGCACCAACCACAAATGTTATAATTCAGCTTGTAATTTACCCCTGATGTGGGTACTTGTTCTTCTTAATACTTAATATGCCTGTTTGTAGGAAAGTTGATTGAGATAATTGAGCAGTGAAAGTGCTCAGGTAACACGGCTTTGGTAACATTTCTGTTGCCATCAGTTTTGTTTATAGCAGCCTAAAGAGCAACACTGAAATTAGAAATTAACTACAATTAGCAAATAAATTGAGTGTCTCTTGGAATTACTTGATCGTGCCTTAAAACGCTGCACAGTGTGATGCGAAAGCCAAGTGAGTCCCTGGGCTGTGGCAGCTGCGTGGAGCTGAGGCGCACACAAAGCAGGAGCCTCTCTGCTTCAGTGCTGCTGCTGCCCAGCATCAGCATCCTACAGATGCTTGTCAGAAGGGTTTTGACCCTGTACCTACCTTACCTTCAGCAGAGCCTGGGCTGCTGCCCCACAGTCCAGGTTTGGGGGGTGCACACTGTAATGCCAGAACCAAAGTCCACCTCTCCATGAGGATAAAGGCAGCTGAGTGAGGTTTTCAGTGATGTGCACCCTTGCACGGAGTGACCAAGACACCGTTCCACTTGCATGTTCTCAGTAAGTGAACCTTGAAACACACATTTAATGTTAGCAAATTGTCATGAGAGGAGTAACTTGTATTGGAAATACATTGTTATCCCAGAAGACAAGTCGTAGACATGGAAGTTGGTTTCCTCTGATTATCTGAAACATGTCTATCTGGATGTCATTTTGTGCTCACAGGTAGAAATAGTTTGCTTCCCATAGTAAGACGTTTTAAGAAGTCTGCTTGATAAATGCTGTAGAGATGTGTGTAATTATTTTTTCTGGCATAGTTTCATAGTTAGATGTGGAAAGAAATGGGTTGTTTAGTACTGTTCAAACGGGTCATTAAATACAGTTCTGAAGAAGAAAGGAGGAGAATAAACCAGTTTCAGGGGCAGCCACTGACACATTTCTTATCTGCTTCATGCAGTAAAACTTCCCTTGTTCCTTCATCCTTCATTGTATTTCAGAGCCTTCTTGTAGATAGAGGCAGACAGGCAATGGCTTTCTGAATTGCACGGGTCTTTCAATTCTGCAGCAGCAGGAGGAAGGCGCTGCTAAACCTCCCCATCCTCTTGATTCAGACACAAGTCTTCAGAACCACCTAAATCGCACATGACTGCTCTTCACTACTGGGATCTTGTCTGGTTTGGGGTGCATGTATTTGGTTGTACTAAGCTCTTCATTTAAGCTTAATTGCTCTGGAAAGGGAGAGGACAAGAGCTTTGCTTCATACTTGGCAGTGCATCAAAAGGGTGTGTGGGGATACAGAGACACGTCTGTTCTCCACTGAACAGCAACTAATCCTGATGAAGTGAAACAGGAGACCTTGTCTGGCCTGAAGAGAAATGGCCCCCAGTCAAGCAGCTGTAGCATTTATCTGGGCTATGGACAAATGGTGGGAGAGTGTATGCCTCCTGCCTCCTTACCCTGTGCAATGTACATCTGGCTGCCTCATGGGAAACAGCCCCACTAGATTCTGATGACATACTCCCCCCAAAAAACAAGTCATCTGGGGTAAATCGGTATCTCCATGGGAAGCAAATTTCCTTGAGTATTTCCTGGCTGTTTCCTTCCTTCCCCTCTTCAGCAGGTTTTTTGTCCCTTTGAAGAGCAAAACGGGGCTGAGGAGTAGAGGAAAGATTTGACTGATTGTAAATGTGAGGCAATGTAGAGATTGCAGATGGGGCGGTAACAGGGGAGGCTCCTGCTGCCTGCACCAGGATCCCAGTGGCAGGGTGAGTATTGCTTGGCCTGAGGCTGCTGCTGCCTTTTTCTGTTGTGTTTCCTTCAAAGCCAGGTGCCTGACTTCCCTGTGGATTTCATCTGGGGAGAATTTATCACTGATAAATAACTGCTTGTGTTGAATTTACAGATGAGCTAAACCATTTCCTTTAATGTTGCAGTTTAGTACCTTTTCCTCTTCAGGTTTGCATGAGCACTGGCATTTGAAGGAAATAAATCTGCTGCTTAGATAAGGCATTTGCCATTGCTACCAAAATATATAAATGACAATTACAAGGTCATTAACTATAGCAAGAGAAAGAAAAATGTGCCATGCATTAAATAGCTGACTTCCAGGATGAGCTGGGCAAATAGTATACTGACGTGTACTGCTCATTTCCCCTTCTGACCATGAAAACCAATTAATCCCTTTCTTTTTTCATAGCACTTCCCCTTTGCACTGGAAACCTCAGCATATGTCAGGCCAAATTTACGAGTGGTGCGTTTTTCAGTGTATTTCATTTATCAGATGTAAATTCTAGCGGCCAGTGATTTACTGCAGAACTGTTTGGGAAGCAGCAAATACATATTACCTATCAGAGTATTTAGCAAAAAAAAAAAGGCAAACTGGAGCAGAAGATTTTATCTGCCACTTCCCAAGCAATTTATCTTTGTCCCCAAGAAGGCAGCTTAGGTGAACAGCTAGCCCAGTGTTATTCTGCAGTGCATCTTGCCTAGAAATGGGCTCTTATGCTCTTCTGTGACTTCGGAAAGCAATGGATTATTGCTTGTATTTTACTACCTTTTATTTATTTCAGCTACATTATAGCACTGGGTGCAGACCGGAGGGAACTGAAAGGCATAAGCTTCACTCCCCCTGCATCACTCCGTATCTCACTGATTCAAAGAGAAAAGTCCTCATTGTTTCCCATCCCAGAGTTCAGACAGTAAATAATCAACAGGACAAACCTGTGCAGTACATCACAGCTGTGCCTGGGTGCTACAGTCTCCACTCAGCCCCTTTTTCCATCTTCATCAACTTGGGGGTAGAGAGGTAAGTGGCCATTTATTGCTTCTGATGTGACCAGGGTGCAGGTAAAGGTACACAGAACAGCTGCACCATGGGTTTCTCCTTCACTTGCTGCTGACAGGTGAGAGCTGAGGGGATATAGGAGCACTGGGTGAGAACTGCATCTGTTGTGCTCACATCCACTGCCAAGTGCAGCAGCAACCCCTGTTGCTAAATAAATGTGTTTCACTTAATGGCCAGATTCACCAGGGCACCCTGAGCTGAGACTGGAGTCTCTATTCTTGGGTACAATTTCCATGGGACATCCTGTGCTACCAGGTAAGTCAGTGCTTGTTTCTTACTGAAGGCAGGACAAAGCATGTCTGTGATGGGAGAATTGCTCTACTGAAAATCGGTGAAGCCTGCAGTGGCTGGATTAGAAAGAATAATTGCCTGACTCACAGTCAAAGTCTTAAGTTTCTATAATGAGCAAGTAAGTGTGTTTCTGTGCCCTTTTTTTCTGGTGGTATTGTGCATGTGGGTAATTTGTTTCCTTTTATTTCCCAAAGGTGGTGTTTTAAACCCCACATAATAGACTGTGGTGTGGAACAGGTAATGTGAGATACTGATACACACTAATGTGTATCAGACTTTTCTGGCAGTCACATTTAAACTGTTAAAAGTTTGTTGATTTGGAGAGCAGACACAGTAATCCCCACGTAGACAGCCAGACGACAGAACTGATTTTTTGAAGTTTCAGTAAAAAGCACTACGTTAAATTAGTCCCTGTGATAGAGGTTGCCACCTTACAATTTGTCTTCTGCCTAATGGTTCCAAGGACAGTGACAGTATGAAAAAGGACTTGCATATCTGTGACATGTAAATTACGTACCTAACACAGCCAGGTGCGTTCACTTGGGACTCACCTGTAGTCAGTGTGTCCAGGGAAAGGTGAGTTGGATGGTTGTTTGATGGTGCCCATCTCTGACTGGGGAATGCTCTACATACAGCCTCTGAAAAGAAACAGAAGAAAACAAATCAACCCTCCCCAACCTGTGACTGTTGGTTTCTTCTCCCAGGTCTGGCAATGTGGAGGAAGCATGGAGGTGTTACCCTGTTCCCGCGTGGCACATATTGAACGCACAAAGAAACCCTACAACAACGACATTGATTACTATGCAAAGCGCAACGCCCTGCGGGCTGCTGAGGTCTGGATGGATGACTTCAAGTCGCATGTTTACATGGCATGGAACATCCCCATGGCAGTAAGTACAGGTCACGCTGTCTCCCAGCCAGAGGCAGGAACATGGATGGGTGTTCCTACTTAGCTCTTGGAGGTGAAGGATAATTACTACAGGTGTACCAAGTGGGCTTAGCTTAAGGGGAAGAGTGCTTCCATGCTGGTGCATGCTTAATACGAAGAGTTCTGCCATGTAAACTTGCTTCCTCAGTGTAAGTTTTGTTGTACACCCAGGAGCAGTGACACAGATTTATAATTTAACTGGTGCAAAATGTTCCAGGTTTATGTGCTTCCTCAGAAGAAGTCATTAATTTGGAATGCCATTAAACTTTGAGGTGTTCATATGCTACAGCAGTGAGGACTACGGAAATGTCTGTAAATAAATATCATCATTCATCGTGGGGCTCAATAGACCTCACAAGCATAAAAAACAAAGTATGTAATAAAAGAATCACACATTAAATAGTTTTACTGTCTACAGGCTGCGAGTTGCAATGTGGACATATTCTGTTTCTCACTATGCATACGAATTGTAGATGGCATGTGGGGGCCTCTAGGAATCCATGTAATATAAATATTAGATAAACTGTAGGTTCAATTTATCACTTTATTCTGTAAGTATATCACATGCTACATCTCCACTGAGCATAATTCCTGGAGAGGAGAGGGATGTTATATCCCAGTCAGGTGGAAGCTGACTGCTGCTATATTCTTTAGTGGTATTTGCATCCAAATTATTCATGTGAAGGGGCACAGGGAGAGCAGCTGAGGGGAAGCATGCTCCAGTCTGCAGGTAATGGTGGTTTAGTTAACCCTTGCATGAGGGGCTGGTCCAGAGCTGATTGAAGCACATGGAAACAGGAATGTTCCTACCAGAACAGGAAGGTAAGTCTTTGTGAATGTTCGGTTATGATACAGAGTCCATCAAAGTCATGGGAGTCTTGTCAGAGACTTCATAGGATTTAGACTGTGTCCTAAATATCTACATACTAAATATGTACTTTGGGATCTAGGTACAGTTTTTGTTCATTCCTGTTGTGGTGTTGCAAATACCTGTGCCTCAAGAAGCCATGTTTCCTTCTTCTCCATGTGATGTCTGAATATGTCTGATGTTCGCATGTGTCCAAACTGTGCTCAGTGCTGTTCAGTATGGGACACTCTGTGCAGGGGCTCTATGAAGATGTGTTTTGGTGACTTCTTTTGCCATGAGAGGTAATTGCAGAGAATTACTTTGCCTTAACAAAGTAACTTCTTTCCCGCACAAGAATTCCATGATAGCTGGAGGGAAACAAAGCAGCATGCATTTAAGTTTTTAGGGCTGTTTTGGCCCTGTCTGCATCCACTTGATAAAACAGTTTCAGTCAGATGAAAAAGTAACCTTGGTAAAATTGTTTGCTTGATGCCATCTCAGAGGAATTCTGGGAAAATACAAGGTATTTAAATAAGCATTTACCCCCCAAAACATGATTTCCTTTAATCTCTCTGAGATTACCCATTGATGTAGTTTTCTGCACTGAGCTATACAAGAGTGCTTGTAAAAAAAATCCCTGGCACATCTATATTAAGAGACAGAAAGTCAGCAGAAGTACTGAACATTAAAATTTTCTTTCCATAAAATAAATTGATTAATTGATAAAATGTGCATCATAAAAATAACCCCATTAGCTCTCAGGAAAAGGAAGTGAGTGTTAGTGTTCACAGAGTTATTCCACTGTAGCATTCAACCCAGATGACTAAGAAGTACTGTACTTTTATGAGCTACAACAAAAACCTTCTCAGGAGAACTAGAAACCCCATCACCTGGTTATAAAGAATATTTCCACATACTAAATGCTGTGGACACCTCATTCTTGTGCCATCACATTGTAACCCGCATGTGATGACTGCAGCTAATACGGAAGTAAGCACTGCGCTATCATAGCTGCTCTGTAGAAAAGGCACCACAAATAGGGCTCTGTACTGCCTCATTCTAGAATAGGCAGAAAGGAGGGAAGTAAAATACATGTTTTCTCCCATACCAAACCCCATCCAAATTAACCCTTTCATAATTCAAGGCATCTTTTAACACAGCTCACTCCCTTCCAAGTTACTGAGAAATCTGTGCATAATGTGTCTCTTGATCAGCAGATAATCTTTGGACACATCTGCAAGATCATATTCCTGTAACGTTCAGCAGTGGGTCAGCATAGCTTTAGTTTAGTTAACCAATTAGTTGGTTTTCCCCTGCTTATGATCTATTCCTTGACAATTTTAGTGATAAAGGAATCTTATATTGCATGTTCTATTGTGCTGAGTGCTTCCAAGAATTGCTCTCCTTCCACGTAGCCTGAAGTAGTACGTAAATTAACATTCATTTGAATGGATGCTGCATAGAGAGCTCATGACAAAGTATGCATCAGCAAACAGCAGTGAGCACAGCAAACTCTTTATGTGGCAGATAGAAAAACCTGTTCAGTATTACACTTGTATTCTCTCCTGAAAATGAAGCATCTGTTGGGGATTCTAATAAACCCTGAGCTAAGATTTGCTGCTGTCTTGTAACCCTGCATTAGACACAACTTGTAAACCGTGCAGGAATCATTCTGGAGGAAGTGTACCTCAGACAGACTCATGCACAAGTCCCTGTGATCAGTCCACTTGATTCATATAGTGTCAGAAAAGATTTTTAGATGAGGTGGTTCTTGCTGTCTTAATGTTGAACTGTGATGATTTGTAAATCAACAGATGCCACCTGAGGACCTGGCATTTCCTAAATGGCTTTGTTTGATCATACTGATTTGACTCTTCCAGCCTGCGTTTTTCATGGGATTTGAATTCAAACAAGAATTAGATTCCGAAGCAGAACTATAAAGAAGGTTTTGTGCATTTTATGGCTCAGGTCTGCAAATGAGCTCCATTTCCAGTAAAAGCTGAATGCTGGCCTATGTAAATGTTTAATGGAGCTTAATGACTTTTTGAGCAGCTCTGCTTTGAAGTTTTAACAGGTCTGTTCTGATCTCATTTACATTAGTGAATACCCAAGGCTGTTACTAGAGTAAACCATGATCACACTGCCATATCTTAAATCAGAATCACTGCCTAAATTCCTAATGAATCTAAAAGCAGAGTTCAGTTTGGTTGCAAAAACTTAGAATTGCTGTAACAGCATTCTTATTGTATTCTTATTACTTTGATTGATGTTGGGATTTTGCTAGTTCGTTATCCTTCTTTTTCCACTGACTTCTGTTATTATTTATTGTCTGCTCTCAACAGCAGCTGTTTGATAAGCTGCTACTTACGAAAGAGAGAAGAAAATACAGCTTGGTATACGAAATGAACTCCCAATTCGGTTTCAGTAAAGAAAACACCTGTATAGTCAATGCAGTGAGATTTCTTTATTCTTTCTCTGCTTTGTAGAACCCTGGAGTTGACTTTGGAGACGTTTCTGAAAGAATAGCTCTACGACAGCGACTGCAGTGCCGGAGTTTTAAGTGGTACTTAGAGAACGTCTATCCTGAAATGAGGGTTTATAATAATACAGTCACTTATGGAGAGGTACTGTATGTCTTTGAAAAATACATCATGGCTGCATTAGAGCAGTCCTTTCATCTTAGTGGTGGGTATCGGGATGTACAGAGCAATTTCAAGTCAGCACAGTAGTAGCAAAAGAAATGCCCTCTCCTGTGTTTAATCACCACCAAGAAGTGTGGCTTTGAGAAGCTCTCTCCCTCTTGCTGGGGTATGATTGTGTACTGATGATACACGACCTTCGTTTTTGCTTTAAAATGGAGCAGCTCTGGGAACATAAATTTGGGGTAATTGTTTCCCAAATAGGATGCCATAGACATCCTCAAAAAGACATCAGCAGTCAAGACAGCTATAATAATTACAGTTAATGAGAACAGTTGAGTTTGCTGAATTATTTTCAGGTAAAGAATTACCCTTTGTTTGGATTTTACCAAACTACCTGAAGGATTACGTTCACTTTATTAATCATTTTTGCATTCCTCATTGTTCAGCGTTAAAAGCAACGTACCCTTGCTCAGATTATGAGGTGAGGCTACCATTTGGCAGGTCTTTATCTCATCCTGAAAAAGTCAGAGGAAGAACATTTTTCTGCTTTGTGCTCAGATTCTGTATTTTCATTGTCATTTGGGTACCAGTACAGAGTCAGACCCTGGAACACCTACTCAGAGGCAGATGAGTGGATAAGTTATTTAACCTTACTGAAATGCTGGATCTAAACATGTTAGAAATGTGTAGGTGTTTCAGTTGACTCTCTGAAACACTTCTTCCTCTGCTGTGAACCAAACAAAGCTCCTGCATATGCTTGACCCCAGTAGGTAGCGAAGTCAGATAGCCCTTCTGTAATTCTTTGTATCTGTTACATGCCTGTGATGTAAGGACTGCTGTCACGACTATGAACTGGGGTGAAGTTCTAGGAGCTCTCCTACTGCTTAATGTTTTTACAATTCTCTTTTAATTGTCTACTTGAACTACAATTAAATCTGAAGGCAATATATTTTCACACAAGACAACTAAATGGACATTCTTCCTTTCTGTTCCATTTGATTGACTTCATGTAAGTCAGGCGCTTCAGCTACTGATACGAAGTGTAAGTTATTGCATATTATCACTTTGCATCCTAATATAAGTATCCCTGGCAGTAACTGAGGAAAGACATTTAGTAAATTCAACAGGAGCTATTAGTAACTGTCAGCTCTAAGAAGGCTGTTAACTGTGAGGAACATTGGCAGTTCTGCCAATGTTGTGTCAGTTATACCAGACGGTTAGCAAGCTGGTCTCTAAAAAGAAGTTTGTTTCTGTTGAGTGGTCACATAGAAGGTTCTTGAGTCAAACAGGAAGTTTAGTGATGCAAGCATCTAATTCGTTAAAACTTGTAATAAAATAGAACACACAAGCTATTTAGGTAGTAGAAACTGGCATAGTTCCCTTTCAGTCTTGCATGCCTGCAATGAAAAAACGAGAGGCTTCATCCTAAATGATACCAAGTTGTTATTAAATACTTTCTCTTCTGCTTATTTTCTTGGAGGAAAAATATGTCTGGATTTTAGTGAGTTTAAAGGAAAATAAATGTATTGAGTAGATGTGAAAAAGATTGAAACAGTAATAAAATAATATATTCTCTAGTGACTAAATTCACATTTTTTAAAGCCATGGCATAAAGCTGTCTTCATCTTCTTTAGCCTTTATAGTACCTGAGTCATAAAATAAACCTTCTCAGATTTAACTGTTGAACCCCCTTATCCGATCAGATCCCCCGTTATGCTTCTATACTGTAATATCAAGAATTACTGGTTTTTCCAACACTTCATGCAGCAGCTATTTCTATATTATGGGGGTAGCCAGGCAAATACTTCACAGCCTAAACCAAAGTCACCTGTTGACTGTTTCAAAATATCTAAATAACTTGTTTAAGAAGTTAATAGCTGTATCCTTTCACAGCGATGTGCTTTATGTCACTTCTGTACATAGCCATATACTTTATTCTCAATTCCAGTAGAATATTTTCATATGGGTTTTTTTTGTTTCTGCACGAGCAATAGGGGCAAACAGAATGGTACTACAGCAGGTTGTCCAAATTGTGTCTCTCCTGGAGCAAAGTCAGTACTGGCATCCTGTCGTACCTCGAGAATAAGCACATGTTTCCCAGAGCAAAACAGTTTTACATTGTTTCAGCTGTAGTGCAGCTCAGAGTTAGCTGTATTGGACTTGCATTATACAGATTAATTTCTACTACAGCTGTTTTCTTTCTGATCTGGTTACAGGTGCGTAACAGCAAAGCTAGTGGCTACTGCTTAGATCAGGGAGCTGAAGAGGATGACAAAGCAATCCTTTACCCATGCCATGGAATGTCTTCTCAGGTAAATGGTTAAATCCCATCATTAGTAAGAAAACTTAAAGAATTTTCAGGAGAAACAAAAAGTAATTTGGTTTATTTGATTTGAGGTTGGCAGCATATTCCTGAGTTGCAAATAAATGGCTTTACTCCAGGTTTTTTTGGGTGCCCTTTCCAAGGCTGTTCAGCATGTGAATCTATACACTGAAGATGCTAATTAGGAAAACAGAAGATTCGTTATAATTTGTTTTAGTAATAGAGAGATCCACCACAGATCTATGAATTTAGATGGTTTGAGTGAGCAGCTCTTCTTGTTTTGACTTGGCTTGTTCTAGGAATAGTATCTCTTTAAATGAACTGTTCATTGGTCCTATTGGTTCCTATGCAGAAATGATTTAGCAGGCTGCTGCTGTGATTCCTCAAGTAGGCAAAAGTTAAGCACGCATTTAACATCAACTTCAAAGGGAATTAGAAACATCTTTTAAGTTAATGCTTTTCTAGCATAGAATTCTTTTTCACTGGTCCCTGTGTGTATTATTATTTTCTCAGAGATGTCTGAAGATTCTAAAATTGCATTTCTTTTTCCCACACTCACAGTGGTGTTACTTGTTTTTTTAAATACAAGTTGGGTATTATTTAAATCCAGGATTTGAGCTTCCTCTGAAATGTAATTCTAGTTTCTTTTGAAGTACTGTCTGAATCAAAACCACGTTAATGAACATTCTCATGTGTAAATAAACTCTGACCTTATCACAGACTTAATAACTATCTGGAGTTCAGTCATACATACATTGATTTGATGCCTGGTTCATCTGTCACCTTGGAAGAATAACAAGAGTCACAAAATACAAATATTGCCCATAGTGCTTAATTGCAAGCTGGTGAGGGAGTCACACCTGATTAGAGAGAAGAGCCAGTAATTCCTACTGACAAAATGTCCACCCTTGGCAGGATTGTTGTGGAACATTTGACTGACACTTTCCTAGTAGAAGCAGAAGGAACAGCCTTTCAGTAAGGTAACAAAATAGTGTTGCTTAATTAGATGTAAATGAGCCTCTCAAGAAGACTCTAGTTAGAGATGTTAAGGCATTCAGAGTTCAGTCTCCTGCTCTATGCTAATTCTGACCAGAAAGCTGCAAATTCAGGTCCTTCCAAAAAGTCCCTTAGCAACATCTGATGTCCCATCATCGTGATAACATTGGGAAGAGTAATGAAAGAATTGGTTCTGACCACAATTTATTTTGCAGTTTAAGTCCTTAACCTACTTGTTTGCCTCTACAACTCCTGTTTTATACAATATGCTTTGGCTTCCAGAAGAAAATACATGAGAGTGTAAGTTACTGTGAATTTATTGGAAAAGAAGTACAATGTGCCTAGCTTCTCCTGACTTTACTCTTGTAAATTTGGGGGTATAAAGCAGTTCACCTCTCAGCATCCAGCTCTGACCAATTTTTTCCATTAGGGAACATGTAATTTTCCTTTTAGTAAGATGTAAATCTGGTGCCTAGTAAAGGATGCCTTTTGACTTGTGGGCCCTAGACTAGACACTGGGCAGCTCCTCTCAGATGCAAATAACAATTCACAAATCATTTATTCCTCCAGAAGATGAAGTTGGGTCATGACCAATCTCTTCTGGCTCTCTTCTGCTATGGGTCTTCAGTATCCTCTATATGTGAATGTTCTGAACAAGCCTGAAAAGCTGTTTTTAGACTGTTACAGCCACAAGCTAGAGCTCTTTTGTTACTTGCGCTCTACAAACGTATAAAAAGAGGAAGTCACTCTTCCCAAACCCTTAAAATCCAAAGTATCCCATGTGTGTGAGAATTATGAAAGTATGGGGAAAGGTAGAAAGTTAATCTACCAAATCATCCTGCAGCACTTTCCATTTCCCTTTAAAGAAATGGGAAAAACAAAGTTATCCCTCAGATACCAAGCAGAAGGCAGAGGTGATGTTCTGTCAGAGTATTTCACAGACAAGCATGGGTTGGAGCCACTCAAAGGCAGCCAAGTTAATTAATGACTGCATAGCTGGAAAACTTTTATCATCTCACACCACAATTCACAAAATTAATTCAGTATGAGAACCACAGCTGCACAAACCCTCATCAAGGATATTCAAGCACATAGCATGAAAGGTGTTGACAGCAAGCGTTTTAATACATTAAACAAACATTTTTAAAGCCCCTCTTCTCATCAGCCTGGGTGAGCATAATTGTCTGTTATGTTTAGCTTTCAGTTTCTGACATTTTTCATGTCAAGCACAGGGCATGAATTACCCCAATGAGTTGAGATTTGGGTTAGTTGTACATGCCTGCTGCATATATACAAATATAAACATGGAACTCGTTTACACCAGGTAGGTTATCACTGGTGCTTAATGCATCCTACCAGTGTGAAAGTCTCATTTTTCAGCTACAGCCTTGCTTGGTTTTCATATTCTTCAATTCTGACAAGCAATTTTAGTGATTTTAGCATACACATGGTTCTACTGAAAAAGAAATCTGAATTAGGAGTAAGAATACTGTTCATCCGTGATAAAATATTCTTTTCTTGTACTTCTTGCCTTTTTTCTACTTCTTGTTCTTCTGTTTCCCTTGCATATTGCACACCTCTGAATGGTGGTGTCCTGTACTGCCAGTGAAAAATAAAGCCACCCCACCATTACTGCTCCATAAACAAAATGCCTTTCCCTGTGTGTATTCTCAAGATCAGATTTTACCATGATAAATCACATCTTTTCAATGACATCAGCTTTTAAATTTCTTTATTCAAACAGGGACAAGCTCTTTTATGGATGCTCTCTAATGCATTTAGTCTGAGTTTACATCAGTTTAGCTTGATGTGTTTGACTTGAGCTAAGTCAGGATAAGCTAACAACTAAGAATATCCAGACATCGGTCTAAGTTGATTTCAGAACTCGTTTTGCAGAAATATAGTGTCCTTTTTATATGTGTTCATTGGATCTGAAGTTTGAGTCTAATCCCTTTCAGGAGAAACTGTTTGCAAATACTGCTGGGAGAAACAGTCTAGGCCTAGAGAAAATTCAGAAAACAGGGAACATACTGGGGGTCTTGACTGCCTTGCCTCTGCATGTGGCCTCTCTTGTACGATCACCTGTAAAAAACCTGATCATGGTTCCATAGCATTACATAATACCCTTTTGTTGTAAAAGACATTTTAAGAGGGGGGTGACAGACTACCCCCCAAAAAGTGGACTGTGGTGTTTTAGAAGCTTATTAGAATGGTTATAGGACATGCAGGTTTTGAACCATCTGAGAACACTTACACAGCCTCAGTGGAAATACTCACTGTCTCGGAGTCCGTTTCAAATGCTGTGATGTGGAGCTGATTATACGGTATGTGAAAGAAGAGGACAACTTAATAAAATGGCATCTTGGGATAGAAGGGCCCTGGAGAACAGCCTCCTTCTCCGCCCTCCTCTCTTCCCTTTCACACCGAGAGAAAGACCAGGCACTGCAGCAGTGAAAGCAGAACTCCCTCTGCATTGAGATCAAGAAGAAAGAAGGAAGCTCTCGACATGACGATTCCTGGAGCTCACAGCTACGCAAACAGATGGGAGTAAGAGGAGATGAAAGGCTTTACTTAAACTGTTGCTTGAGGCCAGGCATTTAACATTTTGCTTGGCAGAGCTATGGCTTTCCAGAGTGGCACACTAGGGAGCTGGTCTGATTGCTTAGAAGTGGGGTGGATGAAAAGGAAGTTTAACTTGCGGGAAGTGGTAGGTGAGATTCTGTAACAAACCTGGAAGTTTGGTAACTTGTCACAAGACAGATCACAAGTATTCTAGAGACTTAAGGTATTTGTGATGCCTGTGTAGCTCACTGTTTCAGTTTATGTGTCAGCTTACAGCTTACCTTAACCTGCAGGGCCAAACAATAAAGATTTCCTTTTGCTTGGAGAACAAGAACGTGAGAGAAGGGTTCAATTTAGTGCAGAAAGCTACCAAACCCATACCTGTAACTGTTTCCTACTATTACCTGCTGTTATTTTTTGCTTTTTTTTTCACTTGACTGGGAATTAGCAGGAATGGATTTTGTGAAGTCAAATCCGTCAGTTAAAAACTGCCATTTACTTATCACATTGCTCCTGGAGGATCACCTGCCACAGGCAGCATCACTATTTCTGAACCAGATACAGTGGCTTTGATAAACAGCCTTTGACATCTTTTCCATTCTGCTCAGATTTCTGAATGTTGAAGCGAGAACTATCTTATGTTATCATGGGTACAGCAGATAGCATCAGGATTAGATCTTGGAGTATTTAAAAGACATTGAAGCTAAGTGCTCTATTATGTGGATCTTTCAGCTCTTCTCAGATAAAAGAGAAAATCTGAGCGAAGGTCCATCCTCATGTGATGTGTAAAACTGTTTCAGTTCTGTCACACAACTGCCACTTCCATTATTGAAGATAGTTTGTAACAGAGTTGGTGTATAAAATCATAGAATCATAGAATAGTTAGGGTTGGAAAGGACCTTAAGATCATCAAGTTCCAACCCCCCCACCATGGGCAGGGACACCTCGCACTAAACCATCTCACCCAAGCCGTTGTCCAACCTGGCCTTGAGCACTGCCAGGGATGGAGCATTCACAGCCTCCCTGGGCAACCTATTCCAGTGCCTCACCACCCTAACAGGGAAGAATTTCCTCCTTATATCCAATCTAAACTTCCCCTGTTTAAGTTTTAACCCATTACCCCTTGTCCTATCACTACAGTCCCTAATGAAGAGTCCCTCCCCAGCATCCCCATATGCCCCCTTCAGATACTGGAAGGCTGCTATGAGGTCTCCACGCAGCCTTCTCTTCTCCAGGCTGAACAGTCCCAACTTTCTCAGCCTATCTTCATATGGGAGGTGTTCTAGTCCCCTGATCATCCTTGTGGCCTCCTCTGGACTTGTTCCAACAGCTCCATGTCCTTTTTATGTTGAGGACACCAGAACTGCACACAATACTCCAGGTGAAGTCTCACAAGAGCAGAATAAAGGGGTAGGATCACCTCCTTTGACCTGCTTTTTGATGCAGCCCAGGATACGGTTGCTTTCTGGGCTGCAGGCGCACACTGAAGCTGGCTCATGTTCATTTTCTCATCAACCAGCACTCCCAAGTCCTTCTCCACAGGGCTGCTCTGAATCTCTTCTCTGCCCAGCCTGTAGCTGTGCCTTGGATTGATCTGACCAAGGTATCTTCCACTGCTAAAGCAAATGCAGAGATGGTACTTTCTGATTTGTCAGGCTTCTGTACAACGTCTTTCTCAAGTACATGGCTACTGTGATGCAGAGCACATGCAATTCTAGCCACTGAGATTCTAAAGACAAGACTATTTTAGACCATTTTAATATCAGTACAGAAAATACTGCTTATCTTAAACTTCAGGGAAAATTGATCCTGTACTATGGAACAGGCAACCCGTTATAAACAGTGGTGCTGATTACCTGGATAACACAAAGCCAGCCAGATTGCTAGAAGGTATTTTGGGACCTGCAGAGATACAATAAAGACTGCAAGGTGAAAGCATACCTGGTCAGTTGGAATTTCAGATGTGCAGTTCATGTGAACTCTGCTGAGTACTCATTAGATACGAGAAGTGTGAAATACTTGCTTGAGCTTTTTCTACGTATGTCCCCTGTACTCCATAAGTAAAAATGTGTGTTGATTTAATGTGTACAGACAATGCCTCAAGAATTATAATGCTAACACCAAGGAGCATCCTCATGTGGTTATCCCTTTGCTTTCTCTGATGCAGGCTCTCTTCTAACCCTGCACTTCACATGGTTGCTCCCAACAGAGGTGGCAGGTGGGAAAATGAGCATATACTCTTGTCAGAGGGCATCTGGTCCGGGAGTAAGCAGACTATGCTCTTTTACTAGCAAGATGTGATTATTTGCAGCATGATTCCTCTGAGGTTAATAAGGATGGTAGTAGAAAGCTAGACTCCAATTTGAGGGGGTTTGATTGACTCTTAATGATATCTCATGCACTGGACAGTCACATCCAATAAATGGCAGCACTTCTGACCTTCCTTCCCTTTTTTGTTAAGTAATTTCAGCCATATAACAGCAGTAAGACCAGACAGGCAGTGAATTTCCTGGGTGATAACTGCATTTGTTCAGTGGCTCAGATCTTAACCCTGCAGTATCCAGCTTCACAACATACAAGCCATGTACCTGACTTCATTTTGCAGTCTTTGGCACCTGGGTACTGCAGTTGACTACTTCTAGGGGAAGGAGGGTAAAATATGCTGGTGTAATGATTCCTCATTTAAACAGAAGTGAGAAGTAGGTGTGTCTGATTTTATATACTGGCCTGATGCCAAATTAACATGGTGCATTTTCATTTTAATGTGCTTTGACATCTCTCTCGGTGGGCTCTCCCTTAGCTATGTAAGAAGTAATAGTAATTAAGGGGATTACTTATCAGTTCTTGCAACTTTTAAATGAGGAATCCATTGCTATCTTAGTTATTTCAGTGCAATGTGACACAGAGTGAACCTTTCCCCTCTAAATGAGCATCCTAAAACCACCTGTAAGGCTTTGAGGCTTTATTAGAATACAGGTTGAAGCAAACTGCAGATCTGGAAGAGGCAGATTGCTTTTCTCTCTCATATAGAGATTATAAGAGACCATTATGTTACCTTCTACATACGGATTTTTGTTTTCCTTGAGCACCATTTTACTGTGAAGGACTTGAGGCAAGTGAAATCATCACTTAAAAGAAAGGTTAACAATATAGACACAAAAAAACAATATAGACACCTGTAAAAATCAACACTTGATTGTGTCTGCCTAAGTTTATGAAAGAAACCCCTCTAAAATAAAATGGCCCTCACCTGAAGCCTCTAATTACAGCCAGCAGCATTTACAACCTCACTAAACTGCACAACATTTAAGCCTCAAACAAAACTGAAGTACCAGAGTGAGATTCTTAATGATGTAGGCCTGAAGCACATGTTAGCAAATTTGCTGCTGTTTTCCTCATCATTTCTTTTTTCCTCTCATATTTTTGGATCCTGGTTGCATGGTTGGATTTTTTTATTTACAAGAATTAATTAGACTTGTTGCCATCAATAGCTCCTAACAGAGCTCTTAAGAACAAAGTGCACTGACAAATTGACATTGTGTCTTGTTAAACCAACTCCTGCTGAGTGGGTATGATTTACATACTGATTACTTCACTTTCTTGAGTGCCCTTTTGCAGTGAAATAGGGGTTAGGGAACAGTGGGGAACAGAGGTGTGAAACAAGGGAATATTGTGTCCTACAAGAGACCTCTCTTGGTAAAACAGGTTTCCCAGGCTTTGCCCTTGAACACGGTATGCCAGACTGGGAATGTCCCAACACACAGCAGGACAAAGGACTCCTCCTCACCAGTGCTTGAGGCAGAAGCTAGCAGAGAAATCAGCTGCAGGCTGGCTTTGTGTCCCCTCACTGGGGTCCCCAGGGCTGCAGTTAAAGACTTCCCTTCCTTTCCTTTCTTCCCTAGCTTGTCCGCTACAGCTCCGAGGGTGTCCTGCAGCTGGGGCCACTGGGCTCCACAGCCTTCCTGCCCGACTCAAAATGCCTTGTTGATGATGGGAAGGGCAGGACACCGACACTGAAGAAGTGTGAAGATGTCCTGAGGCCAGCACAGAGGTTCTGGGATTTCACACAGGTAAAGAAGAGTTCAGGGACGGGTTGCAGAAATAAGTTGGAGAGGAATGCTGCTCTAGAAAGTATTTAATGGAAAACAAGGAGGCCTTTAGAGGAACTCCCCCATATGCCTTCTAGAAATAGTCAAATATCTTTTCTATAGATTGTGTGCTATCCAGGAAGTTTCTTGTATTATTACTAGGAAATTTTAGTTATCCTTTCTTGGAATATTCTCAATGTTTGTAGTGTAAAGAACATACGTGTGAAATTTTTTGTGTCCCCAGGTATTTTTACTTCTAGAACTTTCATAGGATTTTTCTAACCTTTTTTTCTGGGAATTTTTAGACATAAGGCTTTAAAATAATTTTCAGGACTTTCAAAGGCATTCTTACAGTGTCTGGGATTTCCTGTATCTTGGGGTCTGTAGGGATTCTCTAGTGCTTTTTAGAGATTTCCTAGTGCTTTCTGTGGATTTTTCTAGACATTCCTAAATCCAGAATTATCAAGCAGTTGTTCTGGCAGTTTCTGTAGATTATCTAACTTCTCCTAGGAATTTCTAGTTCATTCTAGGGACTTTTCTCACTTTGTATATAGAACTTCCCAAGCATTTTATAGTGTTTCCTAGGGATTTACGGATGTTGCACTATTTTTCTTCTAGTCTTTTTGCCTTTTCTAATCCATCTTTCCTTTTTCTTTTTTTTTTCAGAATGGTCCAATCATCAGCAGAGACACTGGCCGTTGCCTAGAAGTGGAAGTGTCAAAGGATGCAAATTTTGGGCTCAGATTAGTTGTACAGAGGTGCTCGGGGCAAAAATGGATGATTAGAAACTGGATAAAACACGGCCGACACTGACTGCTGGGGCTCAGAAGTTGCCTCTCCTGCTGTTGTCGATTGCTCAGTGTGCCATATCTTGCAAGGCATTTGTCTTAAAGCAAACTAGTCTGAACTGGACTTGACTTGGCTCTCAAGTCCTCCGCAGCTGGGCATTCAAAGTTAAAAAAAAAAAAAGACAAAGAAAAGCAGACACATACATGCCCTATTTGACTCTTCCTTGCTCTGGTAGATGACCTGGGAAGCTTAACAAGAGTTTTCTGTTGATTTGGAAATCCTGTGAAGATCAGAACACAGCAGAAAAGTGGGTTCCCTAAGCTCTCCTAGAGAAACTGGCACACAGACGTTTCTGTGATGAGTTGAAAGGAGAGATCCCAATACTGCCTCATAAAGAGAGTTCTCTGATGGGTAGCTTTTTAGCTTTAAGTTATTGACTGGTGCACAACTCCTATGGTGAATAATCATGTGCCTTTTTTATTGTACTTCGTATAAAAGGGGACTGGTCAAATCCTACCTTTTCAGCATGTCTGGTTCATTGTACTAAACAAGAAGATCTGTAAATAACACTGGAAATATAATATATGATAAATTTCAAGGTTGATTGTTTAGGAGTCTCTGTTTCTAGAAAGAGACTGTTCTGCAAATGTTTACAGGTGGTTCTCAACCTTCAAGCTGCTAAAAAGCAGCATTTTAGAGACCTCTTCTAGTTAGACACAGGTAAATGTTGAATAGGTAAAATAGCCACATGCTCCATTATACTGCCACATTTTACATCTCTTGGCTGTAAAGGCATCACAATATAGCCCTTGCATATTTAACTGAGGCAGTAAATGTCCTAGTAGAGGGAAGAGTTTCTAGAGGCCTCAGTTTGGCCCACAGTCCCCAAGTACCAAGTAAGGTCCCACCTGCAGTGCTGTGGATGCAGGTACACTGTTGTGTTGCTCCAGAAACTGCCTTGGAAGCTGGATACTCATGACTTCTTTCCAGAAGGTGACAGCCTTAGGTGCCATCTGTTGAATGTAACAACTTGAATCCTCCGTTTCATTACCCATCCTGTGAAAATGTCAAGTGTGAGCAAATATGCTTTGTGAGCACTGTCTGATTTTCTGAACAAACCAACAAAGTCTTTTTGGTATTTGAAAAACAAAACCTAGTGATAAGAGGGCAAATTAGAGCAAGAACTAGGAGCATATATAAATACTGTTACTCTGAAATACAAATATTTTAGTGTAGTTGACTCATTGACAGCATCTTTGTGAACCTGAATTTAATGATGTGTACAGTGGTTCACACAGTATCTGTGCACAGGTAGCCAGAGCAATGACAAGGGCTTACCCTGAAGGCTGTCAGAGTTGATGACCACTGTCAACATCAGCAGGCTTTGGATGCAGGTCCATGGCAGACAGCTTTTCATTTAGAGAAGATTCAGTCATACTGAAAGAGAGAGAGAAATGGTATCTGTTAACTTCACTGTTTAATATTTTATAGTAATTTTTTAAAGAAGTTTTGTTTTACTGAGCCAGGGAAACGGGTAATTGCAGACCCTGTGGTACTGTGAATCTTGGTGATCTGTTTCTTGAACAACTTTTGCCACTTCTATTTCAAGGCATGCTGAACAAAACAGAATGAAAACAAAGCCAATTTTTCAAGGGTATGATAAATAATAAAATACTTACTTTTAACGTGCAGAATCCATCAGTTCTTGTCAACTCTGGGTTGGTATCTAGAAAGCATATCACTGTATTTTGCCCCAAGTTTATTTCTGAAATGGAGTGTGTAAGATGTAATACAAAGCCAATTCTCCATGACTGTATTTATGGCTCATGGCTAATCTTTAAATAGTCACATGATCAGGTTATGCATGAATATATACAAAAGAATCATTCTGGGTGAAATTCTAAATATAAAAATGCTCTAAAATTCTGTGTTTATGGTTAGTTGAACATGACCTCTTGAATGGTGTAGTAAGACCTGCAGGGAGAGGTAGCATCTTTAATAAATCAAGCAATACAGTAAAAAATCATGGACATGCTCAGTATTCAAGCCTTCCTGTTGATCCTCAACAGGTGGGAAGCTTCAGACTAAATACACATTGGGAACAGTTGCCCTGTATTTAGCCTCCCATTAGACAATTTAAAAGGATAGGTACCATCACTGGATCAGATGTTGAACACTTTGTACAGGAGTTCTGTTGCTAAGAAACTTTTCATCTTCTCTCCAGATAGTTGCTTCCTTTTAAACTGTATGAAAGGTGTATTCTGTTTTTGTTTAGTCTGATGGAGCTCTATGCCTTGAAACATTTTGGTGAGGGAGATGAGCAGGCAAAAGAAGGGAAAGACCACGTTTGAGCTTTCTAGGGAGTAACATTGCTGGTCAGTCACATCATTTGTAGTCTTTCCAGTGAGTAAATGGTAACTATTTTATATGAAGATGGCTGAAAGCTGAAAGTAATTATTTATCAGTGTGACTACTGAATGCATAACAGTATAAAGTTACTATACTGACCAGAAGCAAATATGCCACATGCTTCCCCCCTTTTTTATCTTCCTTGCCTTGAATTGCCGATATACACTTGATCCTCCGCAGTGGGGCAGCGAGCCTTCAAATCCTGGGTAAATGAAAAAGGAAGGCTTAATATTTGGAGGAATACCAGGTTTTAAGTTTAGTATCCTCAAAGAAATGTTGCATTTGTGGGTTTAGGGGATTTGAAGCTGAGAAGACCAGATAGATGTGTGTTTGCTGGTAAAGGTTTCAGGCAAGTGTGGTAAGCCTTCACTATGATACCACCATGACAAATGTGAATTGGTTTCCTTGGAATTTTGCTACTGCTTTCAGTGCCCATTGCAAAGCATATGGATGTGGCCACACTGTCTGACAGAGTGGTCAGTCCTGGCAGGCCTGCAGTGCAGATGCCACAGGCTGAAGAGAGCTAGTGAGAACCAGACTGTCCATATAAGAAGGAAAGCAGAGTTTCCTGATAGATAAATGGCTCTGAGACTTACAGAATAATAAACAAGAATTCAAATAAGTCTTAAATATGGAGTTGGTATTTTCTGATTGTCATTTTTTACAGATTTACTGAAATAATTTCTTAAATTTAAGAAACCACATCTGTTGGATTATTTTTACTTTAGTCTTTATCTGTGTGAACCACTGCTTTGGCTATGGTATAAACATGGTGACTCTGCATATGAGAGGGTCTTAAATATTCTCTCATAAAAGCAGTAATAATAAAAGAAGACTTGAGTATTATCTCTTTTAACCAAAGCCTATGGGTTTTTTGTCAGTATTTCACCCCTTAACTATAATCTGAAGTCCTGCTTAATGTTTTCAAATTAACAGTCTTGTTTCCCACAGTGCAAGAGTACAGATATTATAAGTATTTAATGTATGTCTTGTAGAGAAAATCCAGCTAAAAATCTTCAGTTGCTATTTTGTTTGATTTAGGAGATTGTGAAGTTAAATACTGTCCTAGGAGAGAAGAACAGAAGGTGAGAAAGAATACCAAGTCTAATACGCTGCTAGTGTACTAGATAGGATACTAGATAGTATAGTTTTACTGGCAAACCAGTAAAAATGATACTTTTCTAATTACGTAAAGAACCCTAAAAATTAGTATGAGTCATTCGGGGGTGGGAGGGGAAGCCCTTTGTCCTTTGATAGCCATAAACTGTTTTCCAATCTTAATTTATTCTTGGCTTTATTAAAGCCACTTGTTACTCCGCCAAAATTGTCCTCTAGCTTTACTGGCTCACTGGTCCCTGAAGCATGATAACCTCCCGTGGGAAGCAGCTAAGAGAAAAAAAGAGCTAAAAAAAGTTTTGTTGAAGAACCTGATGCATTACTCTGTGATTATTTGATGATGTTGAAGGTCTCGTCCAGCCTGGTTGATTCTATGATGTTATGAAAAATCTGTATTGTGGGCATCCATGAGGCTTGAGAGCTCTTCAGGACGGTTTGCATCCAAATAGCAGAACTCTGGTGCCACAGAAGAGAACTAAGACAAAATATGGAAACAAACAACACGTCTTCATACATGTTCTGAAAGCGTGGATCTTGTTTCATTTAAATGAATAGTATGGGGCTTGATGTGTCTGACGATCAGATCTTTGCACTCCTTTGTATTTCTTTTCATCAGCCTACTCCATTTTAAAACCCATGGTCTAATAGATGAAAACCTCACTTGCCATGTGACAAGGGGTGTAATCTAGCTGACACAGGACAGCTGCAATTTTAAGTACTTAAGCCAGAGCTAATAAGATTTAATGAAATAGCACCAGTCCTAATCTGTTCTTCAGATCAATTACACAGCATGTAATTCCTTGAGTATCCAGTATTCATTTGAAATGCTTCATTAACAGCCATACTAAAACACATTATGGCTTGTTTTGGGTTGTAAGAAGAACTTTAATAGAAGTTGGAGTTCAGGAGTCTGGCATATTGCTGTTCAGTTAGGACACAAATACCTTTGTGGGTTTTGTTTTTTTTTCTCATGATAGGCTTTGGGAAGAAGAACAACTGTCAGAATCTGCTTAACTGAAAATGTTTCTAGCAATGATATTACATTTTTGACTACTGCTATTGTGACTTCCTGCTGCTTACTGCTAATCAAAGCTGACGGTGAGATCACGCCACAGATAAAAGACGGTATTGCAACAGAAGAACCAGCTTCTGGTTCTAACAAGCTGGATAGAAAACAGGTCTTCTCATGTCTAGATCTGGGTGGCATCAAAGTCAACTTACTATTATGTTCTCTCTGGAAAGAATCCCCAACTTAACACATTATTTTTATTGCTTCATCAGAAATACCTGTTCAAGAGGCCACTGTAGCCAGTACCTCTTAATCACATTTTGCAAATACAGTTTGTTTTGTGTGTGTATATGTAACATTAGTGGAGTTAAGGTGAGAGCTGTTAAGTACTGAATGCATATAAAATACATTAGATCTACTGAAGTGTGTGCATCATGCATTTACATCTTTCTGTGGGGTAACCAGGATATTCTTGAAAAGCTAATGCACTGAGTGCATTCTGCTGGAGATGGACTCTGCTTGCCTAGTGAACTGAGGGAGCTCAAGGAGTAAATACTGAAATTACATAGTTAGTAGTTCTCAGTGAATTTGGCACAAAATGCACCAATATTTACATCTTCTAAAAAGTAATGAATTAGCTTCAGGTTCACTCTTTCCAATCATCCTGGTTTACTCTAGTAACTGTTCAAAATACCTTGTCCCTCTAAAGCTCTGGGATGCTTATGCATGTGAAGGCATTAGCTGTGTCCTCCCAATGCCCCAGACATCAGTGGTATGAGAAAAATATGATAAACAGTGATGTCTTCAGTACATTGTAATGGATTTTAGAATGGTTTCACAAAATGCACTGACTTGTATTACAAAAGCATTAATGATATGTAACTAAAGGTATTGAGTTGATGCCCTAAGCAAAAGCAATGTTGTCTTTGACCAGGAATACTTACTCATAAACATGCCGGTGAAGCAGCATCTGGCAACCTGATTTTGAGGAAGAGAATGTCTGAATAAAGAGCATTCCTCAAAGGCATTGTAGAAGCACTTGTTACTTGGCACAGCGTTACAGTTTCCTATTGGCTGTCAACAAGGATTGTGTGGTTTTCAAACTCTTTGTAAAAAGTTTAATTTAAAACAATACTGCAGCAACTAGAATGCAAGTTGTGACTGTGAAGAATTTTTCATTATGTGGCACATCATCAAACCGGTTTGTATTTACACTTGAAAAGATAATAAATTACTATGCATTTTACTGCTGACATGAGCTGCATTTTTTATCGTCGTACATTTGAACACCTTGTATTAAAGTTCAAAGTTGTCACACCAAGGAAAACTAGAAAAACAAAGTACACATGCATTTTAAATTGCACGTAATCTGTTCTGAAAGGTAGTCAGCCCATTTTCTAGATGAGCACAGCACACTGTAGCCGACTGCAAGCTGTTCTAAAGCGCAGGAGCTCTGTGCACGTCAGAGGAGATGCATCACCACACACTCATTAGAGAGCTGGCCCCTGAGCACACACATCCAAAGCCAAAGTGGTGACACTGCATTGTGGCTGTTAGACCTGAGGGGACGCTTGTCTTGCTATCCCAGTACAATGATGTACTTGTGTAATGCTTGCAGGTAGCAATCCACACAGCGGTACAAGCTCTGTTCTTGTATAGTCCCACCAGGACTAGTAAGTACTCCACACGAAACATTCAAACGTAGATTAAAACAATCCCCATAAAAAAATTCTGACCTTGGAAGCACCATTCCCAGAATGGAAAAATACACCATGGAACCACAGCTGGGAAGCTGCTGATGAAAGCATTCTCTTCCTAGAAGCTTTGCATTGGAGCTATGTTTTATCAATTCAGATGTGTAAGAGCACAACTGATCTGTCACTGATGCATTGTTCCTGTTCTAAAGAACACAACCAGAGAAACACAACAGTGTACACTTCCCAAATTGTCTAGTTAATACAAAGGACTGAAGGATATCCCACACCCTCTGATCTGACCTGTATCAGCAGAGAGGCTGGACTCACAGATGATATGAAATGACATTGTTCTGCTGCAGCCAAGGAAATGGTGGGCACTACTGTAATTTTTACCAGCTATAGAGCTGGTCTGTTGCCACTGATGATATTGCTATTGGCTTGATTTTCTTTTCTGCTTCCAAAGGCACTTTTCCCTAAGGCAATAGAAAGGGGATATGAAGTGCTTATGAAGTCCCTCCTATACTGCCATACTTCTACCAGAAGTCCACACAGCCCAACACCTCATCACTGAAAACAGTCAATAACTGATGGTTAAAAGAATGAAATAGGAGACAGGGGAAATCTAGAATGATCCTTTCACTGTACATCTCTCCCTAGTTTCGAAAGGTAATGACTTCCCAAGCTAGAGGCTATACACACCAATCCAACCATTAGATTTAATAACTACTGTGGGGCTGTATGTATCTAATCCACTTATACCTCTGGATGTCACAACATCCTGTTGTAATAAATAGCACTGTTGCACAAATCACAGTCTCTGCTTTTCACTCCATAGGATGCCCTGTAGTTCTTTTATGGAGAAAAACTGTAAATAACTGCTGCCAACTCTTTTTTTAACACCCTTCTTAGTTTGATCTCTGTCACCCTCTTAAAATGTATTTCAGAAGTTACTGTCATGGGGTTTTTTGTACTGCTGGCAAACAACTTCCTAAAAGCGCAAGCAGAAGCTCTGTGTCATGTATTGGACTGGGAGATGGCACAGTGAGAACTGATTGGGTTCCTGAACTGCCCAGCAGCATAAAACACACATTACTGGTTTTAACATTGACTTTGGATCTCAACCAGACTGTTTCTCCCCCGTTAACATATAGGCACAAAGTTTGTAAGTTGCGATCAAAGAGCACAGAGCATCTGAGAAAGTATGTGACAACACCTTTCATTCTGCTAGAAATATCTCCTTGCCCTGCCCCTTCTGCTAGGAAGAGACCATAGGGCCCCACACATGTACTACAGTTCCGTGACTGGACTGGGACATGCTTCCATGTTCCTGACTGTCTTGCGCACCTCTGGTTCAGTGGAACAAACTGGGTGAGACCTGAGTGCACAAGCTTTCTCCTTCCTGCCTTCTACAAGGACAGTGACTACACAAGTGGAAGAGCAACTGTTTGACTGACTCCCTGATATAAGCAGAAGAAGTAGGGTGGGTCGGCTGTAGTCTTCAGGGGGGTGACAATGCAGCCAGCCTCAGAAGGAACAGCATAACACAGCCTTGGCAAATTTAGCTCTATCTCCAGGATCAGTCTTTTTAGGGTGAGGCGTTTCTTTTAAATCCACACTAAGGACTCTAAAAACACTGCTCTGTTGCCAGCCAAGGTTTTCTTTGGACTTAATGTCCTATTAAAATCAAGCCAGCATTTCTTGGAAGGATAGATGTCACCTTCAAAGGTACCGTATGCTTGCTAGAATGAATGTTCTGTGAATAATATGTACCAAAATCAGGTTCATATAAATATTTTGTCAGCAGTTCTGCATCCAGCCTCTGTACTGCAGAAGTTCCCTTAAGTCTCAGATGTTTTCACTAAAGAATGTGTATCATGAATGTAGCCACCCCTCTATAATCAATAAATCTTCATTAATCAACTGTGAATCATGAATATGTGCCTGAGTATGATGTAGCAGTGATAATGATTTGTCAGCCTATGCACTGCTTGATCATTTTATTTTGGCTATCAGTTGTTACTGTAATGTAGCTGAGTGCCTGTATTAGTGAGGCTTGCCTTTGTATCCTGACTGGTTAGTTTGGAATTTAGAACAAGAAAATAAGGATTAAGGTCTATTTTCCTGTCTGTAATGTTGGGGTAAAAGCAAACCAACAGCCCCCTTTATGCTAGAATTTATAGAACGCTCCTAAGCTGTAAACAAACCCAAGAACTTCTTTCAGTGCCTAAAACCAACTACAGTCCTAAGCACCAGCAAACAAAAAAGCCCTTTTCATGCAAGTTTAACACAGTATTTTTCTGGATTGTGTTTTGCTTATCGTAAGCTCACCTTTACTCCTTTCCCATATTATCCAACTTTCCTTCTAGGCTGTTCTCATGTTCTTCTGTTCTCTTACTACCATAATGTAATTGTAGAACTTATTTTCAGGTGTGTTACTAACACAGATGACCAGCATTGGAACAAGGAGCCTTCTAATTAGTAACGGCCCTGGCTTCTTCATGTGAATAACTCAGCTTTACTAAAGAGATTTTAATCAGGATTCAGGAAAGATTTTTCTGCTTTTGCAGTTTATTACAGTGAATCTGTCTAATCTGTTGACAGAGCTCCAAAGCACACACTGGTTTCTGCTGTGGTGCGTTAGCAGCGACACGTTTGCCAAAACCTATTGAAATTTTCCACTTACTTCTAGTGTTGGCTGGCATTCTGTGCAGAAAATGGTGCCACCTATCAGCAAGAAGGAGGAAATTAAACAGCAAAATTATTTGTTTAAGCTGAAGAAACTGCTATTTTCATTGCAAGGGTAATGGGTTTGTACTAAAAAGCAATTAGCAAGATGTTTGGCCTGTTCAGGATGATTCTGGGTAAACGAGGTTCTGATCTGGCCGGCTACTATTTCTCTGCAAGGGGATGTCTAGGCTGGACAAACACTGCATGTTCTTGTCTTGCTGACCAAAAGGCTGAGACTTACAAGAAGAGAATCTACATCAAAGATGCAAATGCAAGTCAAGCAGATCAGCTGAGGTCCAACTCAGTGAGAAGTCAATATTCTTGTGAATCTGAACCTAAATAACTTTGGATCCAGGTTTTCTCTTTTTACATTGAGTCGCTCTTGAGCATAGGCCCGTTACAGTGATACAGGTATTCTGAAAATGTTTTTCTTTGTTCTTTGGAAAGATACATTTTGAACTATTCTGTTGGAGCTTTTGTTTAAGTACTTGGAATATATCCTAGCATGCTTAAGCCATGTGTTTCCCTCCCAGTCTCAAGCTATCATAAAACTGAGGCCAAGGATACTGCATTGTGCTGCCTTCTTTTCCTGAACAGAAATGAAGTTCAAAGCTTCAGTAGGCTCCTGAGGGGCAGTGGGGGATTTGTGTTGTGTTCAGCCATATCAGAAAAAAAATCAGGACACTTTTCATGTCTTAGGAGCCTGCTTTATGGTTTGATGCTGGAGCCAAAGCTCCTTTCTTAACTCTGAAACAGTTAGAGAAAGACCCTTATTGTTATCCATCAGGTCAGAATGACACAAGGCTGTTCTATACATCACTGGATTTAGAAGAAGGGGACTCTGTAACTATTAAACCTATTGAAAACCTTCCAATTCTAAATTTTTTGAAGTACTTTCTTAACTTCTGTGCCTGAGCACAAGGCAAACCAACAGACTTTTAGGGTGGATTTTTTTCTTTTCTTTTTGAAATGCATTGTTAAATGTGACAAAAAGTTTAGTCTGAGATAAGTGCACACAGTTTCATGTCTCACAGAATTGTTCTTTTCCACACCAGCAGAGGATTCATCCCAGACAAGCAGGAAAATGCTGGCTGACTAGAAAAAACAAAGTTCCTAATTAGTTAACTTGTGCTAGGCCTGAGCACTTAATGAAGATGTGGAGGTCTAATGTGCTCCCAAGGACCAGAAGGTATCAAACTTGGCAAATCACAGCACTGAGGAAAAAGATAAAATACAGATTTTAGTATTTGTTCTGGTTTTGTAAACATGAGAATCAAAGAACTGTTGAAGTGGCAAGCATAAGAAATAAGCTGTTGCTTGTAATTTTGTTTTAAAAGGTATACTGCAGTTCCTTGAAGCATTTCATAGTGAGAATTAAAATCCAGAGACACAAAAGTAATCAGAAACATATCACAGTAACCACAGAATTTCCTAGTACCAATGTGATTCACTGTTATATAACTGCACATGTCACAGACACTAATGAACCTGTTCCTGCAGTATCTTTGTAAGGCATCTTCTACCTCACAAACAGGAGAAACTGAGTACAGACAGGATAAAGACTGAATTTATCCTAGCCCATTTTAAACACTCACTTAACTAAGGAGAATGTCAAGCTGCTCATCACTCATAGCTCTTTCTGCAGGGAAATGAGGTGGCAAGAGCAAAGAGCTCTCTTCTTTTTCCTCTTCCTTTCCACCTTTCTCTCCAAAATTTAAGTTCAGCAACTAAAGCCAGTCGCCACTGAGGTGTGTAACAAAACAGGGGTATCATGAAGCCATCACAGACATACTTCCTCCTTTATTCATACATGCAAGCAAAA